TCATTTCATAAACTATGGCTATTTTGGTGCTAGTTGGGTACGTATGTTTATTAATTTATATTTAACTAAAATCTGCTGAAATATGGCACACTTATTGGAGCAAAATACTTGTCTTTATTTATACGTTTTTTTTTTTTAACAATAATTGATTTTGTATTATAAAGAAGTTATTGCTAATATTTTTTATTTCATTGTATTTAAATAGAATTTTTAACGTTCAAAATCTTCCTTCAAAAGATTATGTTAAGAAACCAAATTTTAAGTACGAGTTAAAGATACGAGTTAAAAGGTAAGTTATTTTAGCCAAATCAATTAAAAAAAAATTTAATCATGTTAAAATTTACTTCAACTTTCTAGTTAAAGTATTATTTATATAGATATAATATATATATATATATATAGATCTAACTCTTATAGTTTTTTCATTTAAGTATCATAAACACCATGATTCCTATAATAATAAATTGGGATTAAACAAACAATTCAATTTTTTTTTATATTATGTCTCAAATACCCAATGATTATTTTTGTACTCATAAACATTTTGTAGCAAATGTATATATTTTTTTTTTTATGTTGCCATAGAAATTAGTAACACGGGCAAAAAAACTAAGTGATGAATAAATGGCTGAGTTATTTTAAGGGGATATATCAGACCTAGAAGAACTAGATGAAGGTGATGACATTAATATTGACAATCTAAATGAAATATTGAATCAATTTCCTGATAACATTGAAGTGAGTATCTCTATATATTCTATTAAACTATACATTTATTGAATAATATTATAATAATAATTCAGGAATTGTTTCTTACGCAAATAATTTATTGGAAGAGGATGAAGTCAATTTTGAAAATAATTTAATTATGCTTAACCAGAGGGAAATAGAAGCAGAAATTAAAGAGGAAAATACCATATCAAAACCCTGATTCAACATGGAAAGGAAACTTACCTGATCCACCTACTCACATTTTATCTCCCTATGAATATTTTAAACAGTATTTTGATGATGATATTATTCAGAATTTATGTGAACAAACTAATATTTATTCTGTACAGAAGTCAGGAAAATACATTGCTATATCATCAGCTRAGATTGAAAAATTTATTGGAATTCAAATGTATGTATTTATTTCTCACTTATAAGTTAATATAAGTTATTCTGTTTTTTCAAAAATATCATGCTTTGTTTTGAAAAATGGATATTGTCAAAATGCCAWCTTATAGAATGTTTTGGAATGTTTCCAAATGTTTCTGATGTAATGGCAAGAAACAGATTTGACAACACGTCAACACAAGGTCTTACATTCACGTTAATGAAAATACTCAGATGTTACCCAGAGAACATAGCCAACATGACAAATTATTCAAAATCAGACTTTTTTTTTTTTTTTAAATACACAAAATTAAATTTATATAAGAGTAATTCAAATTATTAAATGAATCAAGATTGTCGGTTGAAGTAGAAATTATTTTATTTATTTTAAATTTAAACTGTTTAATTTTTCTTATCGATGTATAGTATATTAAAAACCACAATGTTTTATTTGTGGAAAAGTCCTTGCAAATGGAGGCATGAAACCAGCTAAACTCAAAGCACAYTTGGTTTCATAGCAGAAGTTTCAATTATGGATGCAGCCGAAAAAATAAGTTCATTTGTAAATAAAATGCCCCTGTTGAAGAGAAGATTGCAGTCGGATAATTTAGCAAACTTAAAGTAAAGTTAAAATAAGTGGCGATTTGTGCCGCACAATAAATAATACAAGTGGCGATTAGCGCCGCACAATAAATAATATAAGAATAATTGACGATTCGTGCCTTACACAATATACTCAATTTGAGTTGCTATAATTTAACTACAATAAATTTGCACACGCTGGTGTGAGCACGACAACGTACGGTACACTACTATAATACTATATCACGGCGGCCGTGTTAATAATTCGCCTAGACGGCGCGGCAGCGTATGATAACATGGTGTAGGTAATCTACATGTTATATAACTCACAAGACATTAAAAAATTCAATTATAACTATAACTATAACAAAAATAAACAATACGATAAGTGATTATGTGTGTAACCAGCTATTTCTCCTGTGATTTCTTATTTCTTAATTATTATCTATTTACATAACATATATATATTTACATTGTTGCGGCGGCAACAGATGCTTTATTACAATGTGGAAAACTTCTAACGCCAAAAAGAGGTAGACCATTATCTAATACACCATCAAGTAAAAAAAGAAGAACTTTTACTTCAAGACCAACTAATGATGTTAGACATGATGAAACTGGACATTGGCCAATCCGAGTCATAGAAAAACTAAGGTGTAAGAATTGTATAACATGTTAGTCTACAACAAAATGTGATTAGTGTAAGTTACACTTATGTTACAATTTAAAAAACAATTGTGTTTTAAACTAACATAAAAAAAGTTTCTATATTTTATCCTATCATAACGTCTGAATATTAATCTAAGTACCTATTGTTATAATAGGATTATGTTATATTTTAAAGTTTTTATTTAAATTTTGTTTTCATTAAGTTTTGATTAATATTAATTTTGTTATCAATAAAAAGCAACAAGTCGTTGAATTTTGTACACAGTTTGATTTATATTTTATTTTATGTTCTATGATTTTAATCTTACCTAACCTATTGTGTTGTGTAGTTTGATTTGGGGTTATAAGTTAACTAAATAAATTCAATTCTTGTAATTTGGAAAATAAAACAAAAAATTTTTTAATTGCTTTTTCCCAATGATCATTTTAAGCATCATGCCTGTAAAACGTTGGCAAGTTTTTCAAAATTATAAAAAAATTTTTTCTTTAATTTAACTCAACAAAAGCCAAAATTGAGAACAGAAATTTTTTTTTTTAATTMATATTATTGCTTGAAGGGGTTAAGTATTTGCCTATTAATCAAGCAATTATAAATGGTAGTTTGGCTATAATAGGTTTGTAATTATAGCTTTATAATATATATATATATAATATTATACATAAACTTATTGAATATATTGTGATATAATAATATGTGTACCTAAACAATGTAATTTATTTGTTAATACATTATACAGGAATAGGACACACACAACTAAGCGAACTTTCTGCTTCAATTGAGATTCCTTCATTATCTTCTACTGCATATTTAAATAACAAGTCAACTATTAGTGATGTAGTTCAAGATGCCGCAATCGAAGAAATGATTAAGGCAGGTGATGAAGAGCGTAAGTTAGCTTATGAATGTGGAAATATTGATAAAGACGGAACACTAGTATGTATGGTTATTGCTGATGGACAATAGTCAAAGAGGAATTACCAGACAAAATTCAATGTATTTTCAGGAGCGGTATTTGAAAAATAAATTTAATTGGTTAATTTAAAAGTAATATGCAGTTTATATATTTTTTTAAAAGCATTTATAGTTAAAACAATATTGTTTGTAACATAACTTCCATAATTAAATCAAATTAAATTTTTTTATACCATGTATAATTGAATAAATAATAAAACTAGTGTTTTTAACTCTTAAATGTCCTGCAGACAATAGTAAAAAAATAATATATATAGGCAACAATCATTGGATTTAAAACAACTAAAAAGGTTTTATTTGTCAGAATCAGAAATAGTTATTGTTCAATTTGTCAACAGGCTATGACCAAGAAGGTTAAACCACCAAAGCATAACTGTTTTATGAATTGGAAAAAATATATAAAATGGCAAAATGCTTGTGTGTAAAAAACTCTGCAAAAATAAGCATCCAACTATTTCGAAATTGATTAGAAAAAAAAAAATGGAAATTCCTGCAAATGAAGCACACCAACTTTAGATGCTGTATGAGGTTAAAAAATATTAAAAATGGGACAAACTCAGACTGTAGAAAAATGTCTACAACATCTAATTTTAATTACAAAATACAAGCGTACAATATTGATGTGTTCGATTTTTTAATAGCTAAAAGTCATAACCTAAGAAAAAGGTGTACCTAATTAAAAAACTAACTTTTTATAGAATTATTATAATAACTATTTAGGTTCTATAATTGTATTAAATTACATTATTTTAGGGAACGGAAAGTCTCGAGGAAAAAGTCTCTAGGGCACAAATGTTATCACACTGTATAATTTATTAGTTTTGTGTAAAAATAAGTTGATAAAAATATAAAATCTACTATTCACATGCTATATCTAATCATATATCTTATATTTAGTGTGGAAAACTACAAATAAAATTAAGTTAACAATTATATACCTGCAGTTTTATATTTCAATCGTACAGTATAGTATAGGGATAGACAAAACACTGATCATTTTTKGTATTTACCTATGACGTCATCAGTAGATTATAGATTTGAAAGTGATATAATAAAATAAAACATTATCTCATAACCCGTATTATTATTTTTATAATTGTGTGACTTCTGGTATAGTATAAACTATAGACAGTGCAATATGTGTAACAGACGTTGAGACGTAGACATAGTACACAGTGATTTTAAAATAGTTTCAATTTTTCAAAAATGGAAAATTTTAAATCTAATAAAGGCAACATCAATTTTGCCTATAAAAGTTAAAAAAAAAACCTGCAAAAATCATATACAGTAGAAGTATATAGTGGATCCAAACCATCAGCATTGAAATATTTTGCAAATTTTACTACTGGTTTGGATTAAATTGGTCCCAATGTATGTATAATTAATGTATATAACGGGGTATATAATGTATTTATAATCGTATTAAATTATATTATTTTAGACATTTTTAATTAATTGACTTTTTCCAAGTTTAGGATTTAATTTATCTGGACTTTTTTCCGTGATTCATTAGATAATATTGATTTAAAAATATTAAAACAAACTTACAATTCATTATGTTTCAATGTATACTGAGTAAAACTTATATRTGATCTAATTAAGTATAGTACATAAAGCGCACAATAGTGAATTGTAGTGTAAATAGTAAGTTTTCATTGTTGAGCAAACACATAATTACCTGTTATTGGTTGGTACATGGTCATAACTTGTACTCTACTATAAAGAAAAACAACACTTAAGTACAGTTTATAGCTGTTCACTTAAAACRTGTCACACATTTGACATTTCTAGAATTCAGGCCGTACCTTGTGAAACAACAGCAAAAGACCATTTGATATGCCCATGCCGATCGCGCAATTAAAGGATCAGATTTTGATGTGCTGAACCAGCATATAGGTACAATATTTTCAATGTACTTGTTAAATTGTCTGCTGCAAACAATATTATGGGTTCTGGAACTTTCAGACTGGAAACAGCTACATAAAGGTCGACGACGGCAGCAGCCAGATAACGATGGGCTCGACACAATAATGAACCAGCGATTTACAGATTTTTTTAAACTTATAAGCTCGGACTAATATAGTAACACGTTAGGTTTATAGTAAATAAATAAAGCATTCGAGATTTGACTAATAAGTCACAGTGAAAAAGGGCGCGCAGTTATCAGAGAAGCGTTCATAAAAATTGTTATCAGGAAAAATTTTGACAAAAAACGAGGTGACATTAAACTGGTCAATGATCACATGGATCCCTTGACAGAGTTCTACATAACTGACGCAATACAATCTAGTTGCGGAGGATTAGAATGAACAAAAAAATTTTATGAATTGTAAACTTTTATACAATTATAATATGATTAAACATGCTTTGCGCAGGGGCGTAATTAAGAGGGTATAAATCTCCTGCAAAATTTTTTTTTCTATTAACATTTTATATTTGGTGGGGTAGGTTACTGTATGAGGCTAACAGATTTTCCTAAAAACATATAATTCCCCCCTCCCAAATCAAATTCCTAATTACACCACTGACTCTAGGTTATTGTATTGTATATTTGTATAGTAAGCAGTAAGGGCTAGTTCACATGAAAAGCGTTAAACGCGCGTTAACAGTAGTAGGTACCTAATGTCTGGAGCAGAGGCGTGCCCAGGATCAAATGTATCTAGGTCAGGACCGGTTATAATTATTTTAAATTATATATAATATACATTGTACACAATACCTACACATTTTTTTTTTTTTATGAAACTTAATAATATTAGATTCTGAGGGGAGCGATGAATGTATTGATTTTACCATGATGTGTGTTTTAGAT